TATAGCCCTTAAGATTATCATTGATACTAAGATTTTTAATAGTATAAGTGTTTATGCTCCTCAACTAGGCTTAGACATAAGGTCTAAAGATAAATTTTGGAATGACTTAAAAGACATAATACAAATGATACCTCTTAAAGAAAATTTTTTTATTGGAGGAGATTTAAATGAGCATGTCGGTAGGTTGGTAGAAGATTTCAGAAATATACATGGTGCCTATGGTTTTAGAGTGACTAATGAAGAAGGTAAAGTTAATTTATTGCTTTAGCGTATGATTTTGTTATTACTAATACTTTATTCAAGAAAAGAAATGAGCATCTTATTACTAATAAGAATGGATCTATTAAAACACAAATTGATCATTTTCTTATGAGAAGAAGAGATCATCGAGAGTGTAAAGATTGAAAGATCATTTCAAGTGAAAATTTAAGTGCTCAACATCGATTATCAGTTCCGGATTTTAACATAAATAGTTGCATGACAAAGAATACAAGAAAATATTATCATAGACTTATACAGGAGCACCTAAAAAACTGAGTATACTTTAAAATTTCAAAATTTGGGATGTTCATAAAGAAACAAATTCTATGTGCGATAAAATAACAATTACTATTAAACAAGTTGCATGTTATTAAACAAGTATCAAAAGATGTATTTAGAAAATCAAAAGAAAAAGTTTCTATAAATAAAAATAATTGGTAGTGGAATAATAATGTGCAAGAAAAGATAAAATATAAAAAGTTATGTTATAAAAATTGGTTTAAATGTAAAAGCTTAGAGAACTGGGAAAAATATCAAACAACTCGCAGTGAGTCTAAAAGAACAATCAGCGACGCTAAAAATTCTGTTTTTAATGATCTTTATAATAAATTAGATACTAAGGAGGGTGAAAAATATATGTATAAAATAACCAAACAAAAAAAAAGTAAAGATTTAGCTCAAGTAAAGTGTATTAAAGATGAAATCAAAAAGTATTTTTTTTAGAAAAAGATATTTAACATAGGTGGATGAGTTATTTGATAAATTTTTAAATGAAATTTCAGAAAATACGATCGACTTTAGTGATTTTAATATTGTTAATAATAATAAAATGTTTCTTTTTTACCGTCGCATTTAAAAAAAGTTGATGAGACTTTAAGAAAAACCATGGGTGGAAAGTCTGTAGGACCTAATGTTATCCCAATTGAATAGCGGAAATATTTAGGAAATTTTGGAGTTTCTTGGTTTACTAAACTCTTCAATATTATTTTAAAAACCAAAAAGATGCATGAGGAGTGGAGGAAGAGTATTTTGGTCCCCATTTTTAAGAATAAAAGCGATGTACAAGAGTGTGCAAATTATAGAGGAATTAAGTTGATTTCTCATACTTTAAAATTATGGGAGAGGGTAATTTAACATAGGTTAAGACGTATTACAAAGATTTTTCATAATCAATTTGGATTTATGCCAGACAGGCCTACTATGAAAGCTATACATTTATTGAGAGCTTTGATGGAGAAGTTCAGAGATAATAAGGAGAATCTACATTTGATTTTTCATTGATTTAGAAAATCTTACGATAAGGTTAGAGATATCCTTTGGGGAGTTCTTGAGAAGAAAGGTGTTGTTGATATGACTTGTATTCAAGTCATTAAAGACATGTATGCTAGAGCTGTTACTTGTGTTCGAACTGAAGGAGGATTGACCAAATATTTTCCTATTTCTGTTGGGTTACATCAGGTATCTTTTGCTTTAGTTATGGATGGTCTTACTGGACATTTACAGGAGGATGTACCTTGGTGTATGCTTTTTGTTGATGATGTCCTTCTCGTGGATAAGACGAGAGAAAAAGCCAAAGAATAACTTGAATTATGGAGATCTACATTGGAGTCTAAAGGCCTTCATTTGAGTAGAACTAAAATTGAATACATGGAATGTAATTTTAGTAGTACTAGCTTTAGTGACAAAAGTGTAACTTTGGGTGATCAAATTATTAAAAGGTGTGAACGATTTAGATATCTTGGGTCTATAAAGAAAATAATTAGATGGGAATGTTATTAGTAGAATTCAAGTTGGTTGGTTGAAGAGAAGGAATGCTTCTGGCCGTTTGTGTGATAGAAAAGTATCGCTTACGCTGAAGGAATACTTTATAAGACAAATGAGTGGCTCTAAATGTTGGCCTTTAAAAGAGAAGCATAATGCTAAGTTAAGTGTTGTCGAGATTGGAATAATTAGGTGGATGAGTGGCTTTACACTTAGAGACAAAATGTGAAATGAATATATACATGTAACTCCTGTGACGGACAAAATTAGAGAAAGTCGTCTTATAGATGGCTTGGTCATATTAAAAGTCGACCATCTGATGATCAGATTAGGAGAATAGATGTTTTAGATTTGACTTATGTTAAGAAAGACAGAGGTAGACCTAAGAAGACTTGGGAGATAAGAAGACTTGGGATTATTATATAACAAATGATCTTAATTTATTAGAACTAAATGAAAATATGACACTAAATAGGACGCAATGGAGAAAAAAGATTCATGTAGGCAACCCCACGTAGTGGGATTAAGGCTTTGTTGTTGTTTACATTGCAAATAAATTAACATTTGGTTTATCTTCATTTAGGGAAAGTTTGAAGAAGGCTAGATTTGTAAGAAACCCTGTCAAAGAGTGGGACTTTAGGTATAAAGTTAAATTACAAAAATAATTAATATTTTTCTTAAGTAATGTTAAAAATGAAATTAAGAATCCTAAATTTAAAAATTTACTTATAATTAAATTGCTATTATGTTAGACATGCAAAAAAAAAAATGGTTAGAAGTTTTAACATAAAATGTAATTTGGATATGTCTACAAACATATACCTATATATGTTTAGATATTACATATATATGTATATATGTATATATAAGTAAATAATTAATTATATAAATAAATAAACTATGAAAATACTGATAGAGAATCTAAAATTAACAAGAAAGAGGATTAACACTGAATAATAAGTTAATTACATTTAAATTGTTATTATAGATGCACCTAAGGACTAAACTGATTTGAGAAAAATAATAGCAGACGAAGTTATTGAGGTAGGTAATATGTTTTTATTTTAAAATAGTTCTATTAATTTACACATGCATGTTTTTAATGTTTCACAGCTTTTATTTTTAAAATACAAAAGTACGTGTTTTCTTTTAAACGTTCAATGTAAGTTTTCTTTTAAATGTTAAATGCAAGATAAAAATGAATAAAATATGATGTATACATGCACATGAAAGTCAACCATAGATGGTACTAATAGGGGAATGCAATGTACCCATACACGAAATAGAAATGGAAATGAAAATGGAAATGGAAATGAAGATGGAAAATGGAAATGAAGGAATGCAATGTACTCATACACGAAATAGAAATGGAAATGGAAATGAAGATGGAAAATGGAAATGCAATGTACCCATGCATACCTTTATGGTGGGTTGGAAAATGTTAAACGTATAGTTTTATAAATTATAAGTTTAAATGGTGACTCTGAATTATGAAAAGTATAATCTAAATAAATGAAAGGAAATAAAATTATTTTTTTTAGTGTTCTCTTTTATTGCACAACTTTTATTGTTACTGCACTCTTACAAAAATATTTTAAAATGAGAATTATTGTAATTTAGAAACATTACCCACTAAGTAATTTTAACTCAAATCATAGTTGCTAACATTTTTACAGGAAAGCAGATATTGATTAGATGGACCCCAGAGAGTACGTGTACAAGCGTCGAGGAGCACAAGTTGATAGGTATTACAGTTTAGTTTATTTTTTGTTTAAATGTAAAGGTTTAAATATGAACAATTAGTTGTAAATATAAGTTTATAAATAGAAAGACTCTTTTGTGCTTTGGATTTTTTTTTTTACAATGAAATGAAATTGTCAGATAGTTTTCCTCCATATGATCATCAACTCTCGCCTTGGTAATTTCAAGCTCACCAGATCGGGTGCTGTTAGATAGATTTCCTCCATCCGATCGTCTGTTTCCTTGGTAATTCCAAACTCACCTGGTCGGGTCATGACGTGATATATCATATAATGTAATCACTTGTTGAACAAAAATTAGAAAACTTATATTGGACCAATTCTATTGCATACCAAATCAATCTTATATAAATTCTTGCTCACATTCTTTTTTTCCATCACTCTATCTTAATATAAACTACATTTGATGCTTTCCCATGGTTTGTGCTTACACTTGTATGAATACTATTTATCTTTGGACATATATGGTACTAAATTTAGATCAAATGCAAACCTTTATAAATATATAAATTGTATAGTGTAAATTTTATCATGTTTCATAAACAAGTTGTCTTTTTCAGTGTACGTGTTGTCTAGTCTATATCCCATGCTCATATTGAGCTTCATAAAATGAAGTATACATTTGGCACCAAATCATAATAAATAAGTTTTAGGCTTGGACATAATGCAGTCTTACTTGAACTACACAACCATGTGTCTTTTTTTCAATTTATGAAAAAACAAAATTAGTCACCAAATTAATTAGGATGTTTATTTTCATCTATTTTCTTATTCTCCAATATGATCCTCAACTTATAAAAAAATTACATTTTTTATGCTTTAATATGACTTTCAATCTTTCAATTCGACTCCTTTGATATGTCAAAGGATCACATTGGACAAGAAAAGTATATGGTCAAAATGAAAGCACCCTAAACAATTTGATTATTTCATCTTTCCCAATATGATCTCTCCCCTAGATGAGCTTAAGGAAATGAAGAGTATATTATATGATTAACTAAAATCATACCTATTTTTGTGATTTTAAAATTAAATTCAAAGCTATTAATTAAAGAGCATAAAAATCTAAATGAATAATTCTGACAGGTTGACATATACAAAATTAAAAGCAACATAATCATGCCAGTGTGATAACTCAAGTATCTGCAATATGATAGAAAGATAATGCTAGCCAACCCATGGGCAGAAGTACAGTCAACAGTGATGTGAAGGTCAAACCTGGTTCTGTATATCCAAGACATTTAGCTTCTTTAACAACAAAGCTAAACAATTTTCCATCCTCCAATTCACTCATCACATAACCCAGGGTACCTTAATGTTGAATTCAAAAAAATAGATTTAAGGCTAAAAATATGCCCTAAAAGCCTTTTAATTAACAAATTGCAATAAAAGTATAAAAGTACCACTCAAGCTCCCAATAATACGATAGATAGGATCTCCTGATGAAAGGACACGACTGACAGAAGCAATGATAGGAAGACCAGCTCCAACCTAGAAATAGAAGATCTTGAACGTTAGAAGTGTACACCAAGTAATACTTTTCATTCAAAAATGAGATCAATGGTAGAAAAAAAAAATTATGAATCTATTAAAATTCATAAATTTTGATGTTGTCATCTATGATTAATTTGGAGCTATCAACATAATAAGTAGAAGGAAACTAGCAAGCCCGAGAAATACATGGGGCCAGATACCGGGGGTGAGAGAGAGAGAGAGAGGGAGAGAGGGAGAGAGAGGGAGAGAGGGAGAGAGGGAGAGGAAAAATGTGTATTTCTTTGGGAATTGAAGTTGCCAAGCTTTAACTTTGCCTACATATCCAAGTCAAGCGTCAAACTCCACCATAGTTCACTTCTAACTAACATATTTTTTATTTATATTTCATAATGAGCTAGACACACTCCTTCACAGAGAAAAGTTCACTATAATTTTGTCCTTATAGAATTTCAAGTTGCATTGCCTTTGGAACGCAAGACAGGTAGATCCTAGAAGATGTTCACTTTTTGACACAAATATGGGATTATATATTGGATCTATGAAATTCTAAATTGTTTGCCCCCTTTTAAGTTGATACTATTTATAGCATTTAAGGTTGCATGTAGGCACATGTCCTGTTTGTGCTTTATTTAAATTTTGTTCAGTTTATGTGAGGGCGACACATGTCCTCTTCTAACCCCCCATCTTTCCTAATTTTTGTTAGGGTGGTTGGTTAAGTCGTAGAGTCAATCGGAGTGAATGCCTAGTCGACATTAGTCCACCTAGTAATTTTTTTAGATTACGTTGGGAGCACCAGCTCTAGCTATTCCCAGGATGACTTACTTAAAATTCATATGATTAGTTATAGTGGTTGAGCTATCTGCAGAAATTATTCGAGGAAGGATCGGTCAAATTTCATCTAGCTAGGTAATGTTGTGGGCAAATTTATGCTTTGATTCATATAGAGCCTTTTGGTTTGCTTCACAATTAGTCCTATTTATACTTTATTTGAGCATCTCCTGCCTAATTAAATTTTATTTGTCTAAACATTTTCTTAAGGAATCGTGCCTAGCTTGTTTTTTTGTTTTTTGATGAAATGGGATATATTTTTGGTGGGTTGAACCCAACTGCTTGAGTTGGCCTAGCTTCTTAGAATAAGTCGGCCAAGAGGAGTTATCAAAAGGCAAATTTGAGAACTACAAATTACTTGTGAGGTGTCTGAGGAATGTGTGGTGAGAAGTCAACTTTTGTGAATTGCCTATTAATATCAGTCCAACAGCTATTAGCCATTTATGTCCGAATAACGATATTCTATCATTGGTATAAGCTGTTAGCTAGTCATAGCACTTGATATGGGGGATTGCTTAATAGAATGATCGTCCTCTTTACAGTATACAATTAGGCTACATAGTTGGACAGACTCGTACCAGAAAACAGTGAATTTTTGTGTAGCGATTTTTTCTATTATGTTAATCGATGATCACACGACAACATCTTAATAAGGCTTCTTTGTGCTACTTGGTATATAATTCTATTTGTTCCTAGGAAAGAGACAATTTTTGTCACTATCATAATGTTCTATCATTTCTCCCTCATCTCTTTTTTACTAAAAAAAGTGGGAAATAAAGCTATATGCGGCCAAAAATGAATCTTAAGCTACAAGGATCTCCTTTCTATCGCTCAGAGTAGTGGATAATTAACCTACTCCAACAAATGACCGGTTAAATAAGTCTAAAGAAGTGTTCTCTCTGTCCTGGAGTTGATTTTCATGTGACTTTGGTGCAATCACCATTTTGGATAACTTTATATTATTCTCAATTCTTGTCGAGATTTATTAAGTAGGATATATAATATAGAGGTTATTTTTATCAAGAAACAAAATTTCCTTTCAAATATTTGTCTTCTATGATTATTCCTCCATTGCTAATAGTTCAAATCAACATGGCTTATAAACTTTAACCCAAGTAGAGCTTTCAAGGCCAAGAAGCTTTGCCAACTATTAGAGGGTTGTGTTGTGCTTATTAGGCTCCTATGGTATGCTTGACCAAGTTGATGTCGCAATTTTATCTGTTCGAATGAGTTTTCATGGATTGTGAGCTTTTCTTATTTATTTAGGGAGCTTCCTATCCTAGAGACTCCACTTAGTTGTTATGAGTTTGTACAAAACATTTTAGGCATGAAGGCTATGCCGAAGTCTCGAGGGTTTGAATCCAAATTAAGCTTTTGAAATATTATGCACTATCATTATGGAGTTGCATCATGCTTGGGATAAAACAAAGATATACTTATTCTTCAAACCCTCAAGACTTCGGCATAATTTGGATTCAAGATATACTCTTGGTTCCAAATTGAACCAAGATAAACAGAGGATGTAAACTCTTTAAGAGCATGTGTTAACTTGAACTTGGGATAAAACAAAGATATACTTATTCTTCAAGGAATATATGTATCAAATTAGAATATGTTTGGATTGTCATTTGGTTTTTGTCTAGCAATAAAATGATGTAAGTGAATTTCTACAATTAATTTGATCCATGCAAAGCAACTTTCATCCAATTTAAAATTTGATTATAATAACATCTCATGCTTGATCATAGTTACTCTGTTTAATCATACAAGAATTTTGGTAAAATCATGGTTTATCAACTCTTCATAAAGGATGTACCAACTCAGACATTGATTTATCGAAGGTTGCACCTGTTTTTAACTTCAGTTTTTCAACTCTTAGTTTGAATTTTATCTTTGTTGGTAATCTTGATGTAATTTGTCTAAGAAGATTAAAATGAGTTGTAATTGTTTGACTAATGAAATGGTCGAGTTAATCTTGATATTTTAAGTTTTGTGGGTGCACTTAGCCCTGCCTTACTCGACAAGCTATGAATGAAGATCATAAATTAAAATTACATTTTAAGCATCTTTTGGAAAGGAGTAGCAGAGTTAGAACATTATTCCCCTTAACTAGTGTCATAAATAGTGGCATTATAATTAAGATGAATTTCTCACTTCACTTGCTATAGTTAAAAAGCACTATGGCGACTTCTTCTCTAGTAATGAAACAATCTCGTTAGGCATTAACTTGTTGAAACCTTTTTGTCCAACTAAGATCAATCCATCCATCGCTAAAGAGGCATTGGAGCCCTTTGTAAATTCCTCAATCTTGATATACTTATTGGCCTTCTTTAAGAGCTTGATAATGGGCTCTAATTGCTCTTTAAAATTGTGAACTAAACGACCATTCTGGAGTCCTTGCACTAAGGAAAACTTGAAAACTGAGGTGTCAAGGTCTAATACCTGAAGCATTTATTGAATGAATTAGGTTATTTGCACCTAAAAATATTTTCTCCACCCTGTCAAATGCAGATGAGGGTTAAAACATTAGAATTGCACAACTTTTGATATTGCATACATACCCAAGTCAAATATCCAACAGGGCCAAATTATTGCTCTATACATCACCTCTAGGAAAGAAATTTATTATTTGTATGTAACATGTGACGACCTTCTCAGATGAGAGCTTAGGGAATTGCTTTTGGCATGCAAAACTATTAGTTCTCAAGCGATCACTTCTGAAGTCGATATGACGCTGCAAACAAGATATTTAATCTTCTCAACACTGTCCCTTTAGGACTAGCATCAGAAATTTGCATCAGCACTAACAAACTGTTGGACTTTTGTTAACTTTAGGTGGGGCAATATTTGTCTTATTTATATTTTGGCACAAGTGTTCTCAATCCCTCCCAACCAAATCGAGCACTCCTAGTTTTTGTAAGGGTTGTGGTTTTGACATGTAAAGCAAATTCCTATTTGACTTTGATCCACCTAGGCCCAACTCCTTAGAGTTTGTTTAGATTATCCACTTGGGTCATTTGTGACACATATACTTGGAAGCCAAGTGGCCAAACAATGGAGTGTTCGAGCTTTCTGCTGAATAATTCTTGGAACGATCTTTCATATTTTACCAAGCAAAGCATCAATGCAAGTGAGTTTATATAAGTAATTTGCACCATGTAGATCATTTTGGGTTTCTTCTTGATTAAGTACTAAATGTACTCTATTCAAACGTCATCACACGCCTAACAATGCTTGGTCCTTCAAATCATATCGTAAGTTTTCCTAAGGTGTCAATCATGGCTTACTTTATTTAGAGAAGTGGGATGAGTCATAGTTGAGTCGGGCCCAGTCATATGGGTTGCTTTCGTTTATTGAGATGCGTCAAATGAGACGCTTTGTTTGATACAAATCACTGGTTAAGCAAATCAAATGAGAAAAGTCATTAGAAGACGCTTTGTTTGATACAAATCACTGGTTAAGCAACTAAGGACTTAGTAGACTATAGTTGATTTCGAACAACTGCCTATTAGCAATTGTCCAATAATAAAAAGGTATTTATCAGAAGTTATTTCTATTTATTTTGTTGTCTTTTCTGTTATTTCTTTTTATATGTATTTCCTAATTTATCGTTTTTTTCTTTTTATCTTTTGGGTGTTATTAGGAAAGATTTGGGTATTATATCTTTGTTTTTCAATACCCCTTGTATCATGTATTTATATCCCTTTTGCTGGTCAATAATATTATTCTGCTCTATTCTCTAATTCTACATGGTATCAGATCATGGATCTAACCCGAGTTGCCTTTGGGACATCACCCTAGTCGCAGGTTTTTTCTTCCTGCAGATCCTCCCTGCCTTTTTAACAGTGGTCGACCCTTCCTTGTCCAAACTGTCGGGCCCTCCCTGCAAGCTCTCCCATCAACCTCCCCTGCAGGCTCTCCCGTCAACCTCCCCTGCAGGCTCTCCCGTCGTTGAACTCTACAGGAATTTTCCATTGAACCCAGTAGGAAATTGTTGTTGTACCTGCAGGCCCTCTTGTCAACTTCACCTATTGGTCCTACCGACCCATAGGTTGTTTCTAGCCGCATGCAGGACCTCTTGTCTCTGATCTTCCCGGCCAGAATCTTTCTGTCTCGACAACCCAACGCCACCTATGGCTCAGTCGAAATCATGAAGGACTCTTCAACCA